TATATATGAGAATTACTAGTTTAAATTTAGTTTAAATCTATATATATATTGGCATATCAGTATTCCTATTAGTTTTCTAATTATTATCTGATTTTAAAATAAAAAATCAGTAACAAACTGAAACTCAATTTGTCTCTAATTTTTATTTAGACATACTATTTTTAGTATAGCTTTATTTGATCTGTGATATATACAGATAGTTTACTAGTAGTAGAAAATATAGGAGATAGAGAAATTAAAAAGATGAATATTAGCTAGATAATAGCAGATAATAGTAGAAAAGAATCTAGTATTAGCTTTAGTAGTAGTATTATAGATTAGCTTCTTCAACTCATACAAAACTAAGTGTAATCTAAGTAGTTTTATTAGTAGTACCCTATAGAATAACTATTAGAATATTCTTAAATAGTAAAGTAGTAATCAAAGGAATTAAAAATTTTAAAGATCTTTTGAAATTAAAAAGCAACTTTAAAGCAAAGAACTATAGTATAATTAACCAAATTATAGACTATTATAAAATAAAAAATATTAAGCTAGAACTGATCAAAATAAAAAGTTATAGTTTAGATATTTAAAATAATAGAACAGATCAACTAGTAAAAGAAGATCTTATATTAGATCTAATACTTGAAGCCTAAGAAGTAATAATAAATAAAATTAGATTTTTTTAATATAAAAAACAAAATTAAAGACAATATACTTAGATCTTTTATTAATATAACTATAGCTACAGTTTATAAAAGAATATAAACAGACTTAAATAACATCAAATTAATATTAGATCAGAAGCTATTAAACTAATACAATAATAAACTAAATTAGAAAAATAATTAGAGCATTTAGAAAAACTTGTAAGAAAAAAAATGCACAAGTATCAAGAAGAGTAAAACTCTAATATTTAGATTAAAATATCTAAATAAACTTCTATTAACAAAAGATATTTGTTACCAAAGGAACCTTATATTATATAAAAATAAAACTTGTGTTATATGCTATGTATAAGTAAAATTCTTCAAATATTTAGCAGAATGTCTAATTGATTAACAAATATAAAGAAAAATAAAAGCTATTATTATAAAGAAGTTAGAATCTTTGCTTATCTCTAAATAAGATATCAAAGTTGAAATTCAGAAACTAAATAAGATTTTTCTAAACTCAAGTACAGAAATCAAGCTTGAAAAAAAAAACTTTATATATAAGAGCTAATAGATTCAAGTCTAATAACAGAAGCTAAGAGTTAATATCTAAAATAAACAAAGCTATTTGCTAGTTTACAGAAATTTTTTGATTAAATTTCTTTAAAAGATTATTGAAATTTTGATATAAAATCTTGTTAGAATAGAAAAAAAGAAACAATATCGATATTAAAAAAAAAAAAAATAACCAAAATATAAAAACTAAGCTGAATAGAAAAAGTATCAAACAGACAAAAAAAACTAAGACTCTTTAGAGAAAGAATCTAATGAATCAACTGAAGCTAAAGAAAAAAGAATTCAAATAAAAACTAAAAATAAAATCAATAAATAAATTGCAAAGAATATAAAAGAAAGTTAGTTAAGTTTTAAAAATAACTAGATGTTCTTGATATAGGTATATAGTAACCTTCTGTAGATTCTTAGAATATGATTCTACTTAGACAATCTATTCTTTGAAAAGAAAAATTTGCTATTGTAGCAAATCATACCTAAATACTTTAGTCAGCTAAGTGAGTTCTAAATTATATAAAGAAGGCAGTTTTATAGTTAAATTTAGTTTAGCTTATATCTTTGTTGTAACATTTTATATGTTTTCTTAATAAATAATAGACAAGATCACCTAAGTTATAAAATAATAATAATAATAATAATCATAATAATAATTTTAACTTCTTAAAAATATAAATTATTACTATATTTGAACCATTAAGCAGGCAAATTTGTCTGCTACGTACAATTTACAGATTAAGAAATAATATAAATACCGATACTACAAAATTCCAATAAAAGAATACTAAAATATAGAATTTATTAAAAAAAATTTTTTAAATAAATATTTTTATTTTAATAATTTAAAATTTTCAAACAAACCCGACAACCAGGCTTTTTTAAAAAAATTTATATATAAAATCGTATAAAAAAAATTTTTTTTTAATTTTTTAAAAAAAAAACCATCCGGTTATTATAACATATAAAAAAAGTTTCAAAAGTTTGAAAATTTCGACCCAGCCGGGTTATGTAAACCAAGAAATTTTTTTTGTATAGCCTTATCTGTTAACTAATAATTATAAACAAATCAATAAAATTAATTTAATAAATAAATTAGTTTGAGTCTTAACTCTTGTAATATAATTTACATCCCAAACCTTTGTATATTAATCACTAATAAAGCTTATTTTAATACAAAACAAAACTTAGTTTAACTAAGAATTGACAAGCTAAGAAATTTATTTGTAAAAACAGTTATACAGTATCAGAGGCTTAGGCATGCATAACAACTAATTCGCCAATAAAATCAACCCAATTTTTTATTAGTTGTAATCAGTTGCCGATTTATGAAATTGTATATCAGATATCATATGATCCGTTGATTCTATAAAAGTCAAACGTAGGTTTTTAGTTCTCACAAATTTATAAGGTGTGCTGCTGCACTTCGAAGAATACATGTACAACCATATAATACATTATTAACTTCTTGAAAGTTCTCATTACAACCTATCGAAAGCAAATTGAAAATTTAAAGTTACGCTTCTTCATCCGCTTTTGCATAAAACTTTACAGTCCAAAACATTAACTATGATGTTTGCAGCAAATGATTCTGAAACAGAAATTTATTATGCCTCGGAGTCACCACCAGATCTCGAAAGTGATTTAGAAGAAAACAATGCGCACGACGAAGATTTAGAGGCCGCAAACGACGCTGTTGAAGATCTGACAAACCGCCGTAATCATAGCGATTTCAACACAACAAATATGGATTTGGACGGGGAATACACTTCTGAAGACGAAGAACAACGTCAGCATATTTCACCAGCACCTGGACATGCTTTTCAACGTCTTATCGACCCATACAATACTCGTCACCACCGTAGATCGTCGTCACAACGCATTCGTGGATTCTCACCACTAAATTCGCGGTTATTGCGAAGGACAAATGCCATTACACCTTCTTTTCTTACACAGCACATAAAAAATAATAACGAACTCGGATTAAAAAATATTAATGGTGCAGGTTCAAAGGAATTGGGACAATTTCGGTTACCAGAGTCAAGTTTCTTGCGTGCTGGGATGACTTTTTCAGGAACACAAAATTTGATGAATACACAACAACCTTCACAAAGGGATGAAGAATGGGAAGTCAAAGTGGTATCGTAGAGAGCAATTAAAAAAAATTATTATATTTGAAAGATTAATTTATAGGGTATTTAATAATTTGATTAATTTTTGTCTCGTAATGAATGATAGACTGTTCATTATGTAAATTACAAGACTGGTACCGCAATTGGATTAATGGAAGCTTTAAATGTACCAAACAGTTCAAATACTGTTGTCACATATTGGGAAGGTGAAATGATTGATTTTGTAAACCACTCACTTTGGACAGATAAATGGAATTCAACTCCCGATATTGATCTTCAACATTGGAAAAAATTTGATGCTTTTCGTCAAATGGATGTTCGAAGGTATTAGAATTCGTAATTATGTAAAATTCCTAAATAATTTTCTTATATTCATAAAAAAATTTATTTTATAGTATAATCAGAGGGACTCCCACTAAAGAGTGGTTCCAAGAAGCATGGCAAAAATATATATTTATGAGATGGAAAGGTGCATATTAGATTCTTTTTGCCATAGCTAATTAATTTTATAGAAACATCCAATAATCAATTTTTTTTTTGTTGGTTATCAGAACATTATTTTGTCAATGTGACTGCTCAGGAAAGTGGGTTGACTATTGCAGGGTTTTATTACATTTGTATCAGGAGAAGCGACGGAACGATCGAAGGTATTTGAAATTTTGCTCCTTTCAAACATCGCGGAATATTATTCTGATAAAATTAACATTTTTAGGTTATTATTTCGATCCAGTATCTACGCCTTATCAAAAGTTAACTCTTAAACCTTTATTGAAGGGCAATGGTGTTTCTTTCTGCGACTATAGTTTTAATTAAAAAATATATATATATATTGTTTTTTACGATATAAATCTGTTTGCGTATTATACGTTTCACCTCATTTCAATTTCACCTTTGGAAGTGAGTTGAACTTGTTATGTAGTATATCTATTTCTCTAGCGAAGGTTTCTTTTTATCTTGTCTATTGTGTTTGGTTATCTATAAATATATATATAGTGTTTGGTAATGATGGAATTTTTCATTCATTAAAAATCCATATTTTTTAATAATAAATAAGAGAATTTGTGATTTCTTTTAAATTATTATTCGAGAGAAAATATTGATTTACGGTAAATCAGGGTAATTTAGATTGATAATCAAATTTATAAGTTAAAAAAAGAAACTTTTTTAAATAGAAGCTTTCGATTATAGAATATTAACATTATAAATTATTAATTTAAAATTATATATAGTAAAACATAGATCACGATTGTTCCACTAACTCAGAACAAATTGGTCCAAAGAAATTCTTTCCATAAATGCCCAAGACGAAATATTATTGGTGGAAAACGAAAACCCCCCTGATTCATCAGTTTTAAACCGTTCAAAAAACCATTGCAAAATTGTCCTGAAGGATCAAGCCCCCAAACGGCCAAGTACTACCGGTATATAAACAGAGGTATAAAAAAAAATAAAAATAAAAATAAATAATAATAACTGATATGATGGTGTGCAGTTTACTGCAAAGCTGCTGAGCTCTTTCTTGTATATTTCTCAAAACTCACTTTTTTCAAAACGATCTTGTCAACAAACTTACGATCGGTGTTCGAGATCGCAATTTACACCATACAGTACTTTACTTAATTTCTTTATACGTTTAAAGAGGTATAAAACAGTTGTTAATCTTATGCAATTTATGAGTATATATATTCACTAATATCTTATTAATCTCTTTTTAAAGATTCTGTCATTTAATTTTATCGTAACGGCAGATCGTGTAATTACCGTACAGATCATACAGTACTGACCAAACCACCATACCGTACTGAACATATGTATACTCTTGGGTAAGCAAGTCACTTCCCAATTACATTGTGAGTGGTCAGCAGAACTTCGCCGCTGCCGTATTTGTTATACCATAGAAATACAAATTCCTTTCTTTCAAGATGGAAGGGTTCACGTTTATTTTAAAATTAACTATATGTTCTATATGTAATACATGTTACTTTATTTATAGTAACTTTCGTTTATCTATTGATGAGTCAATCCTTTTGGCTCTCCTGGAGTGTTCATATGCTGACTCCAAACATGAAGTACTTGGATATCTTGGTGGAACATGTGATGTAGATCGATTGGACAACAATACTATTGTTTGTCATGTTAGTCAATTCGTTGCATCCGAAAGGTATCACTTTGAAGATTATTATTACGACTCAGTGTCACCACATTAAAGGCGCAGCAATATATTTGGATAATAATCTCTCATCATTTATGTAATTCAGAGTTGTTACTTCGTTGCTGACTGATACTGTACAAGAAGTTGATCAAGCTCGTGAAGATGCGATAAATACATTCAAAAAAATGGGACTTGAGTTTATAGGCTGGTATCGAAGGTTTGTTTAATTTACAACACTATTTCAATTAAAATTGAATTGAATATAAATAATTTAATATATATTCTTCTGTCGAAATAGCAATCTTGACTCAAATTCTAATACCATTCCCACACAATATGACATAATCAAACAGCAGACAATACAATCACAGGTACCTTAATATTTAAATAGATTTCATTTGATTAAATATGCTTACGTTACGGATATTTATTTATCTATTAGTATCCGGATAGTGCGGGTATAATTGTATCAATGTCTACCATATCTTGTCCTCCAATTAATATAAGAGGATTAATTTCAGAAAGATCTATAAATGCTTTGTGTGTTTTTCGGACTGTAGAAACAAATACTAGTAATAATACCAATTTTCCTTTATCTCAAACTGTCAAATCAAAAAACAGAATTTTGAAGGGTAAAGGAAAAGAGGATTCAAAAGCTAACAAAGTTATCTTTACCGTCAACCGACAAATGTACATGTGTTCAAACGTTATGCAACAACTGAATCACGCTTTGATGGTATAGTAATGTAATTTTTTATTGGACCATATCGGTCATGTGTTAGAAGTTACGATCATAAACATGTCATTTACCTGTCAATTGCAACAGACAGTTCTCCGCGAGATTAAACAAACCTATTCTGGTCAGGTTCTAGATTGTGATAATAGGATCGGACAACGAATATTTGTTGATTCTCAACATGAATCATTTCTTATGAATTTTCTTAAAAAAAGTGTGCTTCAGGTAAGAACATTTGTATTTTAATTCTTTAAAAAATGATCAATTATAAGACTAAAAAAACTATGCCTCATATAGTTTGACAGATCTATAGATCAGGATTTCAGATCTTTAGCTGTAGCCAAACATCATGTCAAGACACTTATAATGAAACGGGTCAACGGCGCATTAGCAACCTGTCAAAGTCATAGTGTTAATAACGGAAATGATGTACATCTGAAGCGGAAAAAGCTCGAAAAATTAATAGAAAAGGTATTTGTATAGAATTAATATTCATGTTGAAAACTTGTTCTTTCAAAAAAATTACATATAATTTCTATATCAGCTTGTTACTCAACGCATGGCCAGAAAGGAAATAGGCGGTAAAAAGTCAGAAAATGTTGACGATGTAGTTCGATGGACTAATCCTAAATCATCGGATAATGATCGACAGAATAATAGCGAAGGTTTCACATTTAACGATACTATACCTCTAACGGAAATTCCTACAATACCGACATTTCCATTGTCCGAGAATTCATCTCAAAAGCCTATTACTTATAAAAAGGAATCCGGGTCAATTGATATTATAACATCATCATCTAAATCAATTCTACCTATAAACAAACACTTAGATGATATGATAGAAGACAAAGTGAAGATGACGAATGAATTTAAAGACACGCCAACAGGCGTTGATGGTGACACGAAAATAACTCAAGATCCAAGTTTAGAAGTTTGTGAGAATTCGCCATCAATAATTACTCCAGTAAAGCAATCTTTGAAGAAAGCTTGCACGGATTCTTCTCGAAACACGCCGAATCCAAAAAAAATCAAGTTTAGCACACCTTCCACCATATCTTTTGGAGGAAATCTTGCACAAGCTGCATCTTTTCCTGAATCAAAACCGTTTACCGGTTCTGGTTCTACCTCGATAATGAGCGGATCATCCACTTTTAATTCTAATCAAAAAAATACATCTTCTATCATGCAATTCTCTTCATCTACACAACAAACTGTCACATCATCACCAACATTTACACCAATAACGTCCTCCTCATCGACTCATAATATTTCAATTTCTACAAATAATCCGGCGCAAGCTCAAAGTAACAGGCTTCAGTATCCACCAATTAATACGTACCAATATTCTGCAAATTGTTATCGACCATTTCATAATACTTCTGAAGACTTATCTACAAATATTCATCAATCTGTTCCCTGTAATGATAACAAACCTCTAAACGGTCCTCCGGGAACCTGTGTAAATTTACCTAGTATTCAAGGATTACTTGAAATCACAAGTCTTGGAAATCTTTCACAACAACAACAGCAACAACAACCTCCTCCATCTCCATCTTCATTATCAAATGGATTAGTTGTTGTAAATCCAAACATTCCAGGAGTTGTACATACACCATTTTCGATTCCTTATCAAAATAATTTTTACTCATTTGGTTCTCCGCAATTGCCTCAAACAGGAACCCATTCGATTGTGGCACCAATGCCACAACATTTACATCAAATGAATTCTTCTACACCGCAGTCTTCAACTCAAAGACATTACATTCCAATTGCACCTTCACCTACAACGACGGCGGGAAATCGACCACCTTTGCCATCATCCTCGCCCGCAGCTACCATATATACAACTACAAGTCACCGTTCGTATCCTGCAAACTATCATGAGTGGTAGTTATATCGATATTTAGAGATTTGGCCACAAACCTGGGAACCAATATTTGCAATAATAATCCGATTACCTCGTTAATTTTTTTTTTTTTTTTTTTTGCTGATCAAAATTTCTCGATTAGTTAATTGGTTAATCAGCTATTATTGTTATACGTTTTTTATAAAGTACTTTTTAAGATTGTAATGCTTCATTTATAAAAAATAAAATTTTCGATTATCTTTAGTATTGCGTTTATGCTTACTGCTTAAAAAGTACATGCTATTTATTACTACGAATATATTATGTTTTATAATAAATGAATAATTTTCTATCTGGACGCATAAGTTGATGGCATTGTTCTTGGTATCAATGTACCATGTAGATCAAAGGGGGATGAGATGAGGCAAAAATTTCATTTTTGATAGATCTGCGGTTACATTTTTGATAGATCTACGAATGTACTCAAAATTTGATTTAGTAATAACTACTTGACCAAATTCGATGAGGTTTTTTTTTTAATTCTATGGATATATGGAATTCAAATATAAAAAATTCATCGATTTTGATCGGGCGGTTGTTGAGATATCTTAGATCAAAGTTAGTAAACAAATTCAAAACGTCTATTAAAATAAGTGTGCCAAATTTTTTTCAAAATTTTGAGCGAAATTATCCCAATAACTACCCGACCAAATTCGATGATTTTTTTCTTTTATAGTGCTCGTGGCTTTAAATTTACACAAAAATTAGCTTTCTAAAAAATGCTACTACTTATAAATTGCAAAACTAATTTACAAGATTTGTTTTTCTTGTTAAGAACAAAACTTATTAAATTTAAAGTAAAACTAAAAGAGTATTAGTATTTTAATATTAAAGTATTTTAAAATATATTATTATATATAATTTATATTTCTAGCTAATTAATGTATTTAAAATTGATCACATGTTTTGATTTTTTTTTTTTTTTTTTTTTTTTTTTTTATATTTTATACAAATACTATCAGCCAAACTTTTATTAGTTTTTATATTAGAAATATAATACATATTGTGAGAGTACAACTAGCTACATATACAATTTTAGATTGTCTAATTTTAGTAGTCTACTCGAAGGTTCTATATTAGCTACTATACTTAAAATCTATTAGAAGATTACTTATTTAAACTCTTGAGTGCAATGTTACTTCTAAATTTATTATATAATTATCCTCTCTATAGTCACCTTCTTTATAGTCACAAATTCACTATAATCATCTTTTTGATTTTACTAACCTATTTTATTATTATTATTATTTTTATATAGTCACAATTAGCTTATAGTTATTATTATATTTTTTTTATTACCACTTATATGATACTTATAAAAAATTATTCTCTATATAGTCACTTTATTATTATAAATATTCCAAATTAATTTCACTTATTTTATAATTTTTTAAAAATATTTTATTAAAATTTTTAAAAACTAATTTTAATTAATTGATAATTATAGCTATATAGATAAATCGAAAATTTAATAAATAAATTGATATTAGCATCTTAAGTAAAGTTGTTTAAGAGAATAAATTATATATAATGTAAAATTTTTATATAATTTGAATAACCTTTTATTAATTCACTTTTGCACTTTATACTTCTATGACTAGAAAGTAATTTAAAGTAATTTTTAGTTATAGAAGCATAAAGTGCAAAAGTAAATTAACTAAAGTTATTTAAATTACATAAAAATTTTAAAATATATGTAATTTATTCTCCTGAACAACTTTACTTAATATGCCAATATCGATTTAATTATTAAAATTTTGACTTATCTATGTAGCTACAATCATTAATTAATTAAAATTAGTTTTAAAAAAATTTATAAAAATTAATTTTAATTAATTGATGATTGTAGCTACATATATAAGTTAAAATTTTAATAATTAAATTGATATTAGCATATTAAATAAAGTTGTTTAGAAGAATAAATTACATATATTATAAAATTTTTATATAATTTTATTAATCTATTATTAATTTACTTTTGTATTTTACATTTCAGTAACTAAAAATTACTTTAAATTACTTTCTAATTGCAGAAGCATAAAGTGCAAAAATAAATTAATAAAATATTATTTAAATTGCATAAAAATTTTAAAGTATATCTAATTTATTCTTCTGAACAACTTTACTTAATATACTAATATTGATTTATCTATTAAAATTTTGATCTAACTATAGAGATACAATTATCAACTAAATAAAATTATTTTTAAATTTATTTTATTTTAGAATTAATATATTTGTAACTATAATTATTGTAACTACAACCTGTAAAGCCAATTAAATTTCAGAATCAGATATAATATAAAATCAAAACAAATACTAGTTTTTTTAAAGAAATCGTTAATAACTCAAAATTTTACTTATAAAACTATCTTTCATATTCTAAAAAAAAAATTTGTTACAAAATTTTAATATTAACTATGCTTTGCTCTAACTCTAATCTCAAGCTAATTCTGACTCTATCTTTAAAAAAAATAATTGTTTTGATTCTCACATTATATCTAATCTTTAAATTTTAATATAATAGTTATAGTAGCCTATGGCTACAAATATATTAATTCTTTATTTTAAATTATACCTCTATATAATCACTATTTTTATTTTATAATATAGATATGATTCTATAAAAAGACCTTTATTTATTATCAGATTCTAACTGTTCATAATACCAAAGATAAAATAATACTAAACATAGTATATTAGATTCAAATAATGAAATTCTAATAACTAATTTATCTAATATTAAAAGAAGGAATTCAATTTCTTTTCAAAATACTTCATTCATAATTGCATTATTGATTAAATCAGATAATTTTTCATAGTTATTATGTGTTATTTCTGTAATAGTTAATTTAAGAGCTAGTTGATTTGGTAAAACTGAATTAAGACATATTGCTGAAGATCTTCATCTTGTTTTGGCTAGTAATTTTAAAGATCTTTGATGCTCATATATTGCAGATTGATGTCATTATAATAGTACTATTAGAATTTGGTATGATCAAAAATATAAAATAATCTCTTTAGCTTTTTTTAAAATATTAGCACTCTATAGTATTTTCATAATATTTCTAATTAAAAAATTTATGCTATATGCTACATAGCCTAAAAAAATATATTAGGATATTTTAATTCTAGTAAGCACTATGCCTTCTTCATAACAGATGCATTATCTGTAATTAAAGCTTAAATTTTTAATAGTCTAACCTTAATGATTATTTTTTCAAGGTCATTAGCAATCATTTTAGTATTTTGTTAGATTTTACCAGTTAGATGAGTAGTAAAAAAAACTAGTTTTGAAGTTGTCAAAATATAATTGATCCAATATTCTTATACCAAATTTGACTATCTATCTGATATAAGGCATATATTTGTATTTTTATTAATCAAAGATTTGACATCATTTTTAGTTTTATTAAAAATATTATCTAACAATCTTGTAGAAAGCTTTTTTTAACTAGGAAGCTTAAACTCTAGTTTTGCTTATTATTACAGTTCTTATATAGATTCTATTTCAGATAATGATAAAAAAAGACTACTGATTTAGCAAATGCTAATTCAAGTGATTTCTGTTCTTCTTTTGAAATATAATTAGCACATACTGATAATAGAGTTGAAATAAAGATACTTAAAGATGTATCACAATCACTTTCATTATTTAGGTTTTTAAAATAATTTTTTTTTTGTATTAATATTGTTTTAGAACACTTTTGCAAATGTATATGAGCTATTATATCTTGCACTTAATCTGTAGATTCTTTGTACCAAATTTTCTCAAAAAATTTTTTAACAAAACCAAATTTTCTTAAATTTTATTAAGTAAACTAGGCAAGTGCTCTTAAGTAAACTTGCTCTATACATATTTTTACATCCTATTAGTCTAGTTTTATAACTCTCACTTTCTTTTAAGCAGAGTTATATTTAAAAAACTAAGTGCACTAGAATTATAATATATCTTTAAAACTAGCTTCTAAATCTCTTTTGTGCTCTTAAGTAAAGTTGTTGATCAGCTTCTTCCAATCATAACAAGCTCTAAACTATCTTTTTAGCACAAAAATTGAGCTCTCTAGTATCTCAAACAGCTTTTAAAAATACCTAAAAATATTTTTTTGCTCCAAAATTTCTTATTTTTTTAATAATCAATTCTTCTTCTAATTCTGGCCAAAACTGTAACTGTAATATAAATTACAGATTACTAAATCTGGATTTTATCAAATTTGTACAAAATTTATCTTTCATACAAGATTTGTAATTCAAATTACAAATCTGATAAAATTCTAAAAACAAACAAATTATTTATAATTTCTAAAAATACTTATATTTATTTTTAAATTACTATTTTTAATTTTAGCATATGAAGTACAAAGCCTTACTATTCTTAGTAAAGTTATACATACTACATTGTGTATTACCTCAGCTATATTAGCTATACTAGCCACACTTATTACACAAGTCACAAGTATATTACTATCTGAGTAACATTATACAAAACAAATTTTAGCTTGCCTCGAAGCTCTTTTCAATCTCTTTAATCTTAAGATATCTAAAATATGCCTTCGTTTATTACAGAAGAGCTAGACTCTTATAATATTGATTATTATTATTCTAAATACAGAGACTGTCATGGTATTGGAATGACTGAACTTAATTCTGACAAATTACAGGTTTTACCAGCAGATATTAATTTCAAAACTTGTGATGCTAGTCCAACAAAAAAGCATCATTACTTCAAGGTTCCTACTCAACCTAAACTTGTTACATGTTTATGTAGCAAATATCATACAAACTTCACTTCTCAATTCTACAAAATTTCTCTACAAATAGTTTTAGGAATAGCTTCTATGAAAATATCACTGCTTATTTCTGCTAAATGTTTTAACAGAATTACTGATGAATTACAAATATTATCTATTCCAAAACAACAACAACAACAACAACCAACTGCTAATCCTAAAATCCTTTTTCCAAACTTTAATACCAATTCAGTT